GCCAGTATAGTCTGTGACTTAGTATCTGAGAACCAGTCTAGCCTTTGTCTTTCCTGGTATCCTCAGACATCCTCAGAGGAACTGGAATTCTTTCTCATCCAAGAGTAGTGTCTTTTGACTTAGAGAGGATACAGACTTATGGAAAATGAGGGCTAGTGGTTGGCTTATCCAGGTTGAAATCCAGCAGCCATTGTGAAGTCAAGGTCAGGGAAGTAGTGTGCTGCCTTCTGGGGCTGGGAGAAGGGACTCAATCTAGCTGATTGCTAGATTGCAAGCTCTGCTGCTCCTTCTCCTTCCACCTTCCTTGTCCCTAACTGCTTACCCTCTCTTATTTTCCCAATCATGTGATGCTTTCTGTGGCCCCATGGCACCCACAGTTCTGCCTGGGACCAGCTTACTGATAACGGAAGAACCCTGGGCTAGAAGTTTCTTCACTTAAGTTCAGTTTAATATTGCATTTACAAATGGGATGTAATTAGAGGAGTGCGTACAGAAACGCCTGCAAAGGAACACACAGAAATACCTCTTACTAGTTTGTGTAGTGGGCTGCCTGTCCTTTGGATTTATATCTTTTGAGGCTGACACAAAACTAGGTAATGAGAGCAGAAAATGTTGTTTCACATTTATTCAATACACACTTTTAAGTATCTTTTGGGCATCTGGAGTTATGCTAGACAGTGGCCTTGGGAGGTGGGTAGCCAGGTAAACAAGTAAAAGCAGTGAAGATAATCAGAGGTCTAGCAGAGGTCTGTTTGAGGCAAATGTGGGTATCTGGAGGAACTGGGCAGTTCTGCTGTAGGCAGGGAGGTACCTGGGAAAGGCTTTCCTGGAGGAGGAGGGCATACCAGTTGCCTATTTTCCTTATGGAACATGATGTCTGGCTGTCTTTCAGTGAGATCATTTGAGCAAGGTTCTCATTGGGTTGTTATCTCCCACTGAACAATAAGAGACTCATTTTTTTTTTTTTCTAACAGTGATTCACTGTGGCTCTGCTATAAGACTATCTTGGCCCAATTTAGACATATTACCTTCTCTTATGCTTCAGTGTCATGGAGTGACTGTCATCTCAATCAGCTGAACCTGAAATTCTGGATTGATTCTTCTCTTTTACATCTAGTTTATCAAGTTCTACTGATTGTCCTTCTGTTGTTGTGCATGCCCGGCTTTGTTTCCTTGTCCCCTGACTAGGCCACTGTCTGTATCAACCCTGGCCTGCATGGGCTCTGTTTTGGAGTCCTACTTCCTTCTATCATCAGCTCCCCCCCACCCAGTCCATTATCCATATTTGGCTCTGTCCTTCTGAAATGTACATCAGTCAAGGTAACCCTCTCTCTAGCATATTTAAACTCCTCCAGTGGTTCCCCACAGGTTTCAGGATGATGTTCAGAGTTTCAAACTTACCTTTTAGGTTCTCACTGCCTATCTTCTTTCTGTCTTGTCTCCTGATATCCTCTTCAGTATCACTTAAGGCTACTCTGTGCAATCCCCAATCTCCTATAAACCATAACCTTTTATCTAGCTGTTTGGAATGTCTTGCTCTTCTCTGGCTTATTATTATTATTGTTGTTGTTGTTGTTATTATTGCTATCACTGTCATTAGTATGCCTCTGTAGGTGTGGTCCTTCCTGTGTGGAACCTTTCCTCCTGCAATCCACCCAGCTCCTACTCATCTTTTGCTCTCATGTCTCCTCTCACAAATGTCCTTTGTTGGCTGCTTAGCTTGGATTAGAAATGCCTTTCCTGGAAAATCTTGGCTATAGTATTCTGCCTTTGTCTCTTTCACTGAACTTTAATTATTTGTCAGTCTTCCCTACTGGAGTACACACTCTGAGGGCAGAGACTGTTATCTTCATTTTGATAGCCCCAGTGGCCTAGTGCTTGCCTGGTACCTAGTAGGTTGAGTTTTAAAACCAATATATGAATGAAAGAATCTCTTCTTTCAGGTGGCTCAGCCTGTGTCCATAGTCTAGGAAAAATGAGATGGCTTAGGAACTTAGGAGAGAATTTTCTTTCTTCTTGTCCTGCGTAGAGCATGCAAGGGAACTTTTACACTGCCTGCCCATTTCCTATGCAGCATGCACTTACCTTGCCACGTTCTCTGCTCAGTCAGCTGAGAGCCAGTTCCTTCAAGAGCTACAGTCTTAGAAAACCATGGGTAGGCCAGAGAGCAAGGGGCCATGCTGAGCCCAGAGAAAGCTCAGTGGTCCAGAACCTCCAGAGCTCCCTACCCTGAGCATCTGCCCTGCCTTTCCCCTCTCATTATTGTTTTTCAGTGCAAGCTGCTGTAGTGGTGATGGTGGTGCTGGGGTGGGGGGCAGAGCTCTTGTTGATGTTTGCTAGTACAACTGTTTTCTACCTGATTAAAAAATACCCTGTTTATTATTGAAAATTTTTGCTGAATTCAGTTCTAGCTTTGTTTTGAGCTGAGGGAGAGCCTGACTCTGAAAGCAATTAAAAATCATCTTGCCCATGGTTCTTGCAGGCACAGTTCAGCAAGAGTGCTCGTAAATGGTGCACATAGGAGAGATGTCAAAGACTTGTGGTGTCTGGGCTGCGCCCTCCTGCTTGCATTCCCTTCCACAGCTCAGGTGCTGTGTAGCTCTTCCAAAGCACCTGTCGGTCCTCCATCTCTGCTGCAGGGCATGAAGGTAGATGAAAGCTTTTTTTTTTTTTTTTTTTTTTAAAGAGCAGCGCTTTTGGAATGAGATTTTTTAAAAAAACTAATTTGGTGATTTTGTTATGTTGGCCAAACTTTAGATCATGATTCTTAAAGAGACACTGTACAAAAAGAGGCTCTTCTGCTCCTTCAATCCTTTGGGTGCTAAAGCTAAAATTTAGAAGTTTAGAGTTTTGCTGGAAGACATTGAATATTGGAAACTCCAAAGGATAAAAAATGAAGTTGTGTCATGTGGAAATAGTTGAGTGTTCTATTTAGCCCTCCTGCCCCCCACTCCTGCCAAGTGTTCAGAGCTCTTAAAACCCAAGCCTGGCTTTGAGAACCCTTACAGCCCTTCTGCGTCTTTGGGGGCAGTGACCGTGCTCCTAACTTTCATTCAGAAAGGTGATTAACTCTTGGCATGGACAGTTGTCTTTGGAGCCCTTAAGAGCAGTCCAGATACCCCAGACTCCTTAGATTTTTAAACAAGTTCTGTTACCAGTCATCCTTCCTCTTTCTTTAAACAGACTGTAGTCAGCCAGTTTTTTTTCCTCATCTACCTAGGGTCTGAATTAAATTTTCTAATTTTTTTTTCAGGGGGAGGGAGGGGTTCCGTTTAAATCCCAAACTGGTTCTTATTGCAAGATCAGACACCAAGGGTGCAAGAAACAACCTGAGGCAAGTCTGCAAGTTAGAGAAACATCTCAGGTCCCTGATGTGGGCTGCTAGAGAAGCCTTGGCCCAGAGTGGAGAGAGCTGGATGCTACATTGTTTCTCATTGTCTCCATGCTCTGTGCTTGAGTTTCCCTATTTATAAAAAGGTACCATTTCAGTTACTCTTCTCTTGTTGCTGGTACAAATACCCAACACCCAAAATGAAGGAAGGAAAGGTTTCTCAAGCTCACAGTTTAGTGGAGGTTTCAGTCCATACTCAGCTAGCTCCAAGGCAGACGACCCTTGGCACAGAGCAAACTTTCATGGCTGTGGCAAAGTCAGAGAGTTAAGGGGGTAGCAGCAGCTCAAGCTAACTAGCCTCTCTCCCCTCCTCACATTGTAATGCAGAGTATCTGCCCCAGGGCACTCACACCCATAATCCCAGCACTGGATCAAGAATCAACCACAAACTCCAGAAGCCACCCCATGACTGCATGAGGTTTTGTGGGGACAATTAGACACAAATCATGACAAGTACTAAACTTGCCCTATCTACTTTTTAAGCTATGTCTAAGAGGAAGTGCAAGTGGATGGTAAAAATAAATTACCACACAAATTGGAGTAAATCAAAGTGCTTTTCTGTGAAGCGAGTCTTGGTGTGAGTATTTGCAAGAGACTTAGGAGAGCTCTTGGGGAAGCAGAAACATGTCTATTTCTGACTGCAGGACTGTGGATGTGCCTGTGCCTGCTGCGTTGGGGTATGGTTGATCCTGTGTTTTGCTCTTTCACATGCTTCAGGCTGGGGAAAGTTTGCTCGGCTGACCAGAGCACTGACCAGCAGCAGGGGCGTCTTGCAGCAGCTGGCCCCCAGCGTGCAGAAGGGTGAAAACGTCCACAAGCACTCCCGCCTGGCAGAGGTAAGGCAGCAATGGGGCTCACCTCAAGGGCACTGTTCAGGGGTGCATGGGGTGAGAAAGTGGCACAGAGCTGGAGTGTTTGCTTGGAAGGGCTGCTTAGGACCCCTAGAGTCTTGTCTTAGTTGGGTTGCATGATTTATAACTTTGGGTAAGTGACGTTGCCTTGAATTTGTACTTTCATATATATAAAAATGACATACATAATAGAGAAAGCTCTATTCCAACATGCATTGAATCCTAGGTGTCACTTTACTTTTGAAGGGCATAAGAAGGGAGCTAAGAGTTCTTCCTACACTAAGCACAAAAGAGTTTTTTACTTATAAACTATAGGTATTTTTATTTGAGCAATACATACTATTACAGAAAAATAAGATGCAGGAATTGAAAAGAAGAAAATCAAAGTTACCTGGAACTCCACTGATCACAGCACCTTCTTGAGTTTCTTGTGTGCCTTTAACTCTTTTTGTTGCATTTGTTCTTTTTTCCCAAAGACTATTTTTTCACACATTAATGCTGGACACTAAGATGCAGCTAAGAATCAATGTGCACAGTGAATGAGGTTGTATTGTGTTTTGTTCATTTTATATAATTACAAACCTTTTTTCCAGAAAAATGTACTTTACTTGATATTGTAGAACTTTTTTGTTTTGTTTTGTTTTGCTGTACCAGGGACTGAACTCAGGACCTTGTGCTTGCCAGGCAGGTGAGATTCTTGATATTGTTCTAACCTTTGTAGTTAGGAAATTTAAGGTGCTGGTAGTGGTATTGTCCCATGATTGCTATGATCTGGTGTGGCGTTAACCTGGGTAGGCTGTGGTACCAAGTTATCAAGCAAACACTAATAAAGTTCACATGGACATATTATTGTAGCTATTTTGTAGATAAAAGCCAGGAGCTTTCGCATACAGTGGGGATGGGAAGCATTCATTGGTACCATGTTAGAGAAGGAAGGACATTTGATGAGGGCAACCTAATTATCATTTTTTGTCATGATGTGGATTTAGTTTCAGATAGAAAGAATGTGTAGGCTTCAAGTATAAGCCTGTACATTCCCTGCTTTTGTCTGTGGTTAATAAAGTAACTTTCTTTGCTGCTTTTCTCTGCTTTTTCTCATCCAGCCACAGTGGCCTCCTTGCTGTTCCTTGCACGTATATAGTAGGCTGGTGTTTCCCATGACACTCATGTGTGACAACTCCTTTGCTGCAAATCATTGCCTGAATGTCATTTTCTCTACATATGTAGTAGTCAGAATTCTGCCAGGGAAGCATAGCCAGTAGGATGCTTATACAGGAAGAGTTTTATTGCGAAGAACTGGCTGTGCGGCTGTGGGGTTGGGCTGTGTAAGTCTAACATTCACAGAGCAGGTGAGTGGATTGGAGACTTGGGAGATACTGAAGCCAAAATCCATAGGCAAATTCCTTTTCTTCAGCAAAACCTCAGTTCTGCTTTTGTAGCCTTCTAATTGATTGGACAAGGTCTATTCACATTATAGAGGATTTTGTTTCCTTGCAAGTCAGTCTATTTTAGATGTTAATCACATCTACAAAATATCTCCATGTGACAACTTAGATTAGTGTTTGCTTGATAGCTTGGTACCATGGCCTACCCAAGTGAACACAAAAAACCACTGCAGTTCATTTCTTACTAACTTGGTACCCGTATTTCTTTAAACTGTAATATCCAGTTAAAAACAGCAAAGTAATACTAGTGCCTTAATGATACAGTTATCTTACAATGGGAAATGTGGCAGGCCCTTCTCCAAAGAGGAGGCAACGTCCTCGGTGATCACTCTTCTCCATACCCTGGAATTAATTAATTAAGTAATTAATTTTAATGTATTTGGTACAGGGTCTCACTATGCAGACTCCTAATATTTCTCCTGTTTTCAGCTTCACCAACGCTGGGATTATAGGCCTGTATTACCACACCTGGTCTCAGTGGCCTGCTCACTGTACTTGGTCTCGGTGGCTGGCTCAGTGCACCCAGGGGTGGGGTCAGCACAGCATGTGGTGCCGGGGATCAAACCCGGTCCCTGCACTTGCCTATGTGGGCACTTAGTCTGCGGAGCTATCTCGCTAGCCCCGTACCCTGGCATTTAAATGCTGTGATATAGATAGCTTGAATGCAACTTGTGTTGTATAATGAGGGGATTAAAAAGGGAAGGCTGTAGTGATATAACAAACCAAAGAAAGATATAACTCCTAGTCTTTTTACTCTGTTCTATGTCTTTTTTTTTTTACTTAGTATCATCTAATGTGCTAAACAGTTTATTCTGTTTGTTCAAAACCAAGGAAGGAAATGATAGTAATATTTTTGCCTTCCTGTGTGGATTAAGTAATCGCTCATTGATTTCAAAATAAGGCAAAAATGTAAGTCTCATCCTTGGGTTAAGCTTCATTTAGTCTGGCCAAGGCTTATTGATTTTACTGATCTGTTCAAAGAACTGGCTTTTGCTTTTTTGATTTGCTGTTTTAGATTTCATTGCTTTCTGCTCTATTTTTTGTTATTTATTTTAGTCTGCTTACTTTAGCTTCCTTTACTCTTCTTTTTCTACTTTCTTAAGGCAGAAGCCTTAAGGCAGAAGATTATTTCTCTCTGATCTTTATTCTTTCAGTGCTAGAAAGAATTATAAAGGGATTAGTTGAGAAATTGCCCTTTAGGCACTGATTTTACTGCATGCCACACATTTTGATAAGCTGTATTTTTCTTCATTTAGTTAAATATGTTTTATTTTTTTCTTGAAATATTTTCTTTGTCCTGGGTATTATTTAGAAATGTGTCACTTAATCCTTAAATGTTTTTGGATTTTTGTGCTATTTTTTTCTAATTGATTTGATCAATTGTGGTCTGAGAGAAAGAACTGCAATTTTATTTTATTTTATTTTATTTTTTGGTATTTTATTTTATTTTATTTTATTTTATTTTGTTTTTTGGTACTGAGGATTGAATTCAGGACCTTGGGCTTGCCAGGCAGGCGCTTATGCCACTGAGCTATATCCATGGCCCCAAGAATTGTAAGATTTTTTTTTTTAAACTGGTACTGATGATTGTACTCATGTCCTTTATGCTAAGTTATATCGTCAGATCTTTATCTTCTTATTTTGAGCCCTGTATATTTTATTTTGTCTATTGCTTAATTTTCTAAAATGCCCAAGCTGGGCTTGAATTTGTAGTACTCCAGCTTCAGTTCCCAGACTGCTGGGCTTGCAGGTCCATGGCACAATGACAACGTAATTTTTATTCTTTTGATAAGATACTGTTTTTATGGAGGTGGCAGGTAGGTGACAGTGGTGGGGAGCACATGGCTGAGAAAACTGCTCATGTCATGGCCAGGAAGTAAAAGAGAGAGAAGGGGTCTCACAGTCATTTTCAAGGCCACAGCCCCAGTGACCTAGTAGACTTCCACTAGGCCCCACTCTTCAAGATTCCACCACTTTGTAGTAGTGCCAAGCTGGGGCTGAGCCTTTAACATACAGTCTTGGGGGGGGCAAATTATAGCAGCTGTTGTTAGGATGACATAGTGTACACATGTCCAAATATCCAGTGAATTGATGGTGTTATGGAGTTTAGCAATATTCTTATTTATTTTCTACCTGTTGGATCAGTCCATTTCTGATAGAGGGACATTGAAGTCTTCAACTGTAGTAGAGTTCTATTTTTCTTTGCATATGTTGATGATCAGTTATTAGGTGCTTACATATTAAGTGTTGCTATGTCTTCGTTACGTCTTGCATCTGGATGTCCCCCAAAGACTCATGTGCTCCTATGTGGGGCTTTTGGGAGCTGGCTGGATCTAAGGTGTGTCAATGTGGATCAAGGGTGTACGGTAATAAACTAGTCCACTGATTGGAGTTAGCATAGCTCTGCGTGTGGCTGATTGGATTTATTGAAAACAGGAGTCCTGTCCTGGGTATGCATGGAATCACCCAAAAGGTCTGTAGCCAGTTGTGATAAAAGGGAAAGGCAGACTTGCTTCTGCTACTGCTGCTGCTTGCTGCTTCACTGCCTCTTACTTGCTTTGCGATGGACTGTTACTCCTCTGCGATGTCTCTCTGCCATGCCATCCTGCAATGGAGCCAGCTGGCTATGGATTGTAACCTCTGCAGACTGTGAGCTGACATAATCTTTCTAACTTTCTTGTCAAGTATTTTGTGTTAGCAATGAAAAAAGTAACTAAGAC